CTCCAATCATCTCATCTCGCTACCGACCTTCCCCATCACAGATGATGACAGCATCTACTGCGATGCGGAGGTACGGCGCGCGCTGATGCGGACGGAGCAAGTGTGTTGGCAAGACCCGCCTCGGGCTTGTGATATAAGGGGGAACGGGTTTGTCTTGATTGATCGTTTTGATTCCCCGACTCTAATATWGCCYTATACGGGWTTAACTGTGTTGCCCTGGTCGGCCGCTCACGCCGCGTGGCGGCCGTGGTTTGATTGTCACTGGTGTCGTTAGGGGGTTTCGTGTTCTTGGCGACGCTTGGTCCTGGGTTACGAGGGAGTGACACGTTTCCCCGAGCTCTCCCGTAATGCGGGGGCGCTGCCCACGCAATTTTGAATTCGGATGCCGGCGAGTCCTCCCGCCGTTTCACCCTCTCGGAAACTTCCGCGCAGACTTTGCGAGGCCGACGCCGAGGCTTGAAGACCTCGAACCAACCACCTCTACAGCAAAAACCCGATGGTCCGGTCACTTCGTGAGGCCGATGACGAGGCCGGAAGGCTTCGAACCCACCACCTATCCCCCAAACCCATGACGGTTGGAGTTTCTGTCTTCCGCTGCCATGGCCCTCTTCCCTTGATGCCTTTTTCCGTCCTGATGCACGACGACACTTCGTTTTTGCGGACACCCTTCTGATTTTATCGTTTCGGGGTGATCCGACCCCCACGGGACTTCGCGACGACAGTTCGACTCCGGGGTAACCTCTGGCACGAAACGAGAACCTCCCCTTCCGCCCGGGAGACTCAACCCCTACGGCCAAAAATCCTCGGCCACGCCCCTCCTAGAACTCTCATTGGTGACCCAGTACGGGAAGCTGCAAGGAGGCGTGAGGTTGCGTATCACAGACTCGCTTTCTTTCACAACTGACATGCATGTAAACAGGTAGCGCAACAAACTGGCGACAAACGCCCACTCAGAACTCAGAGATTATGGTAACCAATAATGCAGTTCAGATACAAGCTCACTTCAAACGGCTATGGCGCAACAGCGCCTGTACAACTCTCTGTTCGTCGCCAACCCAACTCTGTTGTTCACACACACAGGATCACCCTGGATATCCCACACGCAACTCACTGAACACATATGCACACACACACACACTACACTCTACGCCTAGCTATGGCGGCTATGGCCGCTGATACCTCTATTGCTATGGCTAAGCTCTCCTTCTCGCCCACTTCGTCTTCGGGCACACTGTAGACCACCTCGCACAAGTCTTTGTGGCAGCGCTTCCGCATGGCTTATGCAGGAATGAATGAATGACTGGGCTCTGCCTCTTGATTTATACTTTTGTAGCTCGTTGGTCTGCCCCTTTCCCATGCCCCTGGTGCACACAGTCCCACACGGTACTTGCTTGACTGGACTATGACTGACTGGGACAGGTACGGCGGACTGCATTGGCTTGCACTGCCAACTCAATGCAGTCACACTGCAGACGTACCGCAGTTGGGCTCACCACTTGCCCACTTGCCTCTGCCTAAACGTGAGCCATACTTGGAAAGGCCACCACTAGGACCTTCCGGAAGGCTGCAGACTTGGCCTTTCGAAGACTGTTGTAGCTACGACCTTGACCTTTCAGCAGTGTAGCGGCTACGACCTTGACTTCTCAGGACACCTACAGCTACGACCTCTATCCAATAGGTCTACAGCTACGACCTCTATCCAATACGTCTACAGATCGAACCCCTACCACCTATGGACCTACGACAGTCTACCAACTGTTACAAATACACAGGTCACGGGTTCAACTCTCGCCTTGAACGCAGGTGATGTACACAGGTAAGGTAAAGTCTAGGGATCGAGCCCTGGGATCTGCATTCACTACTGCTAGCAGGTGAATACCGTTTCATACCCTTTCCCCCCCAAAAAAAAAAAAAAAACAGAGCTGCCCGGTAAACCGTTGGCAGAGAGGGAGAAGAGGACAACAAACGAGGGGTTGTGACAAACTGTTTCCTCGGAGTTTCACCGACTCATATATACGCTATATTCTTCTTTCAAATCTTTCATCATCTTTCAAATTCTTTCAATTCATCTTCACTACCTACCTACCACTACTCCTAAGGCTTATACAATACGAGAGCACAGGGATAGAGAGAGAGGAAGAGGGAGGGAGAGAGGGAGAGGGTTTATGTCGCGGTTTAAACAGTTTGTTGTACGTGGGAGGGAAGGGGGGGGAATATTTGCCATTCTGCCGCTCGTGATCTTTCCAGGAAAAATATTTAAAACAAACCGTTTCAACCGCGACATAAACCCTCTCCCTCTCTCTCTCCCTCTTCCTCTCTCTCAATCCTTCTGCTCTTGTTCTCGAGGAGACAATATCCACGCGCATCGCGCGCGTGTGCACACTCTCTACCTCCTGCTCCTTGACACAGTTCCCTCCACACACGTTCGACCTTTGCCCCGGATCCCAACATACTCACTTGCTTCACTCCTTCCCTGCCCCAAGACCAGCGTCCGCAAGCAAAAGAATCTGCACTCACACACACACACACACACACACACACACACACACACACGAGTGCACACACCCTTCTCTGCCGACTCGGTTATGATGCATCTCCCTGCATGCAAATTGTTCGTCCTCCTCTACCTCCTACGTAATCCCGACCGTCCACCTGCACCAAACCCAACAATGTCATCTCGAATGCTTTTGAATGCGGAAGGGGGTGAGGGAGTGGAAGGAGGGCCGAAAGTGGAAAAAAAATCGTGTTTACAACTCTCCCCCACACACACGAATGAGGTTGAGTGAACCCAAACAGAGGAAAAAACGAATCATATAATCGTACTGTCGACGCTCTGAAACCTCCGTACAATGCGCGATCGACGGTCAGAACGTGCGTGAACAACGGATACCACGTTGGGCGTGGGGCCGCAGCCAGGAGGGCGGGCGCAGGGGAAAGCCCAGTCGGACTCACCAAATGGCGAGGCTCTAGCGGGAGTGTAGTTCTGGCATTCCAATACTTATTTCTGTTTTGGATGGAATCGAGGCCAGATGCACACAAAAGTTTCCTAAAGTAGGAACCCGACAACGACCTCCCACTGCCCGCACGACACCGCACGACCGTGCGACGCTCTCCTACGACCGCCGCCGTGCTGTCTCCAGAAACGACCGGTCGATCGCACCCTTATTACGTGCGCATCGACGCCATATATACCCCGTTAACCAGTCGACGACATTTTCCAAAAAGTTAGTCTCACTAAACGACAAACGACTACGCAGCCATCCTGGCTGCGAACATGCACTTGCAGCACGCGCGCGTGCACATACAAAAAAAAAAAAAAAAAAACACAAAGAAAAACACACGCACACAGGCACATACAAGGGACGAATACACGTAAACACACGCACAGGCACACGCCCGAAGAACACACACGTACACACACACACACACACACACACACACACACACACACACACACACACACACACACACACATATATATGTATATATCGTCAAACAGAGCTGCCCGGTAAACCGTAGGCAGAGAGGAGGAAGAGGAGAACAAACGAGAGGCTGTGACAAAGGGCGTCGTTAGACACTCCTTGGGGATGCGAAATCCACAAGGAAGTGCTCGTTCCACCTATCCTCGGGGATGATTCTCGAAAAAAAATGTGAAAACACCACAAGGGCATTTCCTTGTGGCGTCCTTGTGGCCACAACCAATTCTTCCTTAGCCCAAAGGGACCTCCCGAGGTCCCTCGGAGCACAAGGAAGCGCGAATTTCGGAGCGACGAAGGCATGCGTCGACGCAAATTTTCTTTTGGAGGGTGGTCCAAACGCGGTCCGCTGACCGGGAACACGGACATCCCAGCCCCCCACCGTGTGGCTAGCCCCCCCAACGGCTCCAAACGGTCACGGTCCCCGTGAGACCGCCGTCCAACGGGTCCGACGTCGCCCGCCGGTGGAGTGCGGTTTGCTGCGCTAGGAGAACGTTGTCAACGGTCAGAAATTCGAATGTTTATCAGCGTCGGCGTGACGAATGGATGACGACTGCCGTTTTTTCTTGCATGTCGTAGTTTCCGTCGCTTGTCGTCACTCCATGCGTGTGCGTGGTCGTGCAACAAGCCTCTTTTCTCTTCTGTCGGCGGCGTGTTTCACAGGGTGGTGCACCACTGCCATGGAGTGCATGCCCTTTCCGTCCACCTCCC